TCGGATGTTGCTGGTTCTAGTGAGGGGAAATGCTGACCCCTCTGTTGGGGGACCCCGCAGGAGTGCAGCCCACTGCTGGTAACACTAGTGCCACACCTGCCATCACCCACCAGCCTGTGGTAATGAAACCTTAGGGGCGACTACAGTAGGCAGGGCATCTGCTTTGAAATGGTGAATCATAGAATCCCTACAGTGTGGAAGCAGGCCATTCAATCCATCGAGTCCACACTGACCCTCCGAACAGCATCCCATCCTGACCCACCCCCTACCCTATACCTGTATTTCCCATGGCCAATTCACCTAGCCTGCACATCTTTGGACTGTGGGAAGAAACCGGAGTAACCGGAGGAAACCCAGACACTGGGAGAATGTGCAAACTCCACACAGACAGTCGCCCGAGGGTGGAATTGAACCCAGGTCTCTGGTGCTGTGAGACAGAAGTGCTAACCACTGAGCCACCGTAATTTACACTCAGGGATATTCTCACATTGCTCTCTGCCATTCACACTCTCACAGCTCGCCTTCCAAATACCCTCTACACCCCCTGAAATTCAGGTCACCTCTGTTCCACACAGAGACCCCGGTCAGAGATCCCCTCTCTACCTCCCCCCAACACCACAGTCCCCCCACCCCCCACTCAACGTCCTCTCACAATAGCCCTTCCCCAGACAGGGTCCTACTCTCTGCCACTCATTACATGGGGTCCCTCTCTCCACAGGGTCATGCAAATCTAACCAGGGAAGAGGCTCTTTTCAATCTTGTCTTTAATGAAACAGGGTTAGTTAGTAATCTCATACTCAGGGATCCTCTGGGGAAGATTGATCATAATACGGTAAAATTTTGGATTCCAGTGAATAGTGACATAGTTCATTTGAAGGTAAAGTATTAAATGTAATTACAGCCATTTATGAGGGATAAGTTGGCTAATGTAGACTGGAATACTTGATTTAGAATGTGACCATCAGTGAACATTTTAATAAATATTTCATAGTTCTCAATTACTCAACGTTTTGCTAAATAAACACACCTAGTTTGTACCTGGACAATTCACAAGAAATACCGATGTAAAACGAGTTTGTACTGCTTACACAAGAAGAGTGCTGATTGGTTGGTTGAGTGGGCTATGGTTGGTAGAAGCATTTCCATGAAGAGTGCTTTAAGAAAGCTTGGCAGTTAACTGTCAATCAGAATTTCCCATCTCTCAGGTTCTTTGTTATCTCCTTATCCTTCACAAGGATTTGCTCTGTCCCTCCTATCCTCTTTCATCTCATGCCTCTGCATCCTGGTTCCTCCATCTGCCGCTCACTGTCCTACCTCGGCTCGCTCAGTCTGTGTATTAAAGGACTTTATGCACCTTTACCCAACATTGCTACTTAATCATGTATGAGCTGAAGTAGATTTACTGTTCTGATTGACCCCTCTACCTGTGCCTTTATTAACTCTCTGTATAACTTGCCAGAAATGGGACATGTACAAATCAGATTCTGATCACAGCCTGAACTTATTCCAAATGCCTTCAAATCTCTCTTTCCTTTCAGGGACATTACATTGAAATAATCAACTGAACTATTAACAGTGTAATTTAATTCAAAGAAATCAATTTATAGTTGATTTTGTTAAGCAAACTCTTCAATAAAATATCTTCATTACAAGAGAGATTCTAATATTGCACACCTGATTTTTCATTTTTGTTTTAGTAATGAAGGCACCCACACTGCAGTCTCTACCAATCATAAAGGCATCAATCACAACTGCACTCTCACTGTGCAATAATATCTGTCCTTCTGACAGTGCAGCACTCCCTCAGTACTGACCTTCCGACAGTGCGGCGCTCCCTCAGCACTGACCCTCCGACAGTGCGGC